CAATATATAATTAACCTTATTTCCAAAGCTGACAGATTTTCCTGGGTTTACTATAAATTTAGCATATTAAAAGATTCAGTTTTATTTATTTATTATTGTAACTACTGTGAAGAATTAAAAAATTAAAAAGCAAGAGTTGCTAATATTTTAAGTCAACATGATACAAAACTAAGAATTGTTTGATATACTTGTAGTAGGATAATTCAGATTAATATAGCACAAATTTACAATATAGCAACAGTTCATATTTTTCATTATCTTCATCCTTCACCTAAAACAATGAATATTTCTCAACAAATTTGTGACTACATCATTAATAATAATCTTTTAACAGTTTCACAGCTTTACAATAATATTAAGAATAATGAAATTGAAGGTTTTTTACATATTATACTGAAACAAGTTTATTATTGGTCTAAAAAAAATACTACAAAGGAATATAAATTAGTAGATGATCAATTTGAATCAGCTCGATGATATTTAGAAAATAATCCAAGTTTTAAACTTCTTTATCAAGATCAACACTCATTAGCTTTTTTAACTTCTTTGCTATTTATATTGCCAAATAAAGTTACTAAAACTATTATTGTTAATTCAACTTATGGTACAAATTGTTTAAAGTTTGAATTATTTGCAGTTCTTGGAGTTTTAGATAGTGCTAGATTCCTGTTATCCTATTTTTTTCTTGAGCCAAAGTATCCATATAGTAAAACACATGCAATTACAATGTGGTTTAAAAGCTTAGAGGAAAATGGAATTCAAAATGTTGAGAATATTTTGACAGATAAGGATTGTAGACAAATTATGGTAGCTAATAAAATTTGGTCTGTGGCAAGAGTATAATTGTATTACTGGCATGTATTACATGTGATCAAAAAGAAACTTTCAAGTACTGGCATCATGCATAATTATTATGTGCAGATGATGCACATTTGCTTTGTCTAACAATTAATCCTGCATGTGACTAATTAATCAAAAGCAAAGAATAAGAAAGTGAAAAGATAGAAATTTTTTGAAAAAAGATACGAGAGAAACACAACATTAAATTATAGCTTGGTTCATTTTACTATGTGATAATTTAAAATTT